CCCCCTCTGTTCAAGGCCGTGAAGGATGGAAAATGTGTTTGGCATGGGAAGGAGTATCCGAGATTTGACCTATGGCACGCCTCCGTAACGAGCCAATCGCCCTCTTACTCTTGGGAACGAAGCTTTCCCTGCCATCAAAGATATCCCTGAGAAAATACGAACACCCTTAGAATTTCCTCCTCTGGTATAACCATCTTTCCACACCCCCCCTCTACTACCTACCCTCTTACTTTTTACAACTTCCTACCACATTTCCGAAGATTTTCCCCAAGAGAACGGGATTATTCTATGACTACCGCTTCTCTCTAGCGGCCGAATTCGACCCCACTCGCTAGAAATTTCCCATGTACGACGTGCCCTGCCTAAGGAGATGGGTAGTTGATGTCAGGATTGTTTCTGACAATAAGAACATATTTGTACATCTGCTGGCTGCTCAAATTGCTTCATGGGGTGAGCCATACTAGAAGGGCTGCTCTGTTTCGGACCTGGAACAGATGCGTGGCGCATCCCATAAGTAATCGTACAACACCGATTACTTTTCATCGCTGATAATACGCTATTGTTCCAGAAGTTCATCACTAATGGTGCAAATCTTCGTTATCTTCGCTCTTCAAGAATGGTCCCTTAACCAAACTAATAATTTCTAGGTCATCAGTTATGAGTGTCGTTAAGATTTGGGAGTCCTCATAACTAAATACCATTGACGGGATACCTCGCTCTTAAGGGGACTAAGTAGCTGCCTCGCTAACGCAGTGCGTAACCCTTGAGTGCCTCGATCGACCGCTCTTCAGCCATACACTTGACTTAATATGCTGTCCAACACTTGATTTTCCATGCAAATTTCAATGTCACCATCGCTCGCGCAGCCCGACGTCGCGTGACCATTACGGTAGCGAAAATGGGGACCTTCATGGGTTTCAATTGACAGGTTGGTTGAAAAGGATGATTTCTAAGGTAGCAATCAGTATAAATGATGGGAGACCGTGGAAACTGGTGAGAACGGGTACAATGACAACCCAACTGACTTAGAGGCAAAGTCTGCGATCATCACACGTAGTGGATTAGGGGTTTGCATATAGACGACAAGGTGCTGAGTAATTCGATAGTGAAGAAAAAAAGCAGACGAAAACATGCCAACTGCCTTAAATAGAACCCCATTTTGACCTCAGTATATACGTGCCCAGTTGAGTCTTTCTCCAACACTACGCCCCCATCCATCAGCTGATTTCCCGATAAGAAGTCTACGACCGTACAAGTGACGATTTTCATGCTTTTTCGTCCTGCAGCTTCGTTTTTCACTGAAGGCGGGCCTTGAAGGCGGAGTCTGGAGGCGGAGTCACTGGAGAAAAAGGAGGCGTCACTGAACCTATATCGCGCTACAGCGCCTTCTTTACAATTTTTTTGCCGCGAGAACGTTACAAGTTCGTCGCGGACCACATCAGCCTCAGAAGCGTCAGCTGGTCTTTTTCCATCAAAAATATCTATGCCTTATCAGTGCAAAAGGTAAAGCTAAGAGAGAATGTATTTAGTACAGGAAGGCGGAGCGCTGATATGAAACGGTGACCTCCTGTATGCCTCCTTACAGACCACGTACGCATTTCATGCTCCTACGAGCTTGAATGACGTCGTTTGCGATGAATACTCCGTCACTTCACCTTCTTTGGAGTCGGGGGTCGTATGGGCCTCTGAGAGAAAGCTGTCGACCCCCCCCCGCTCGACAGAAAATTTTTGGGTGAAAATTTGGAGGAACTGGTTGGCTCCTGTACTTCATCTTTCACCATGTCCTCTAGCACAGTTGGATGTAAAGGACGTCAGCAAATGTTTCAGGAGCAGATGAACCCACAATGGGAGTAGCCAACGAAGCGATTGTGGTTGACTCAGGTACAGCATCGTTGTGTGAAACACGTGGGTAGGGTCCTACTTGGCCGCTGTGGGGGGG